ACCGCCCATAGAGAACTTACCCAATCTATGCAAGGCGCTGGGCATCAACGAGAATGATTCCACATGGAACCTGGAGCACGAACTGGAGCGCCTGGAGCTAAATCGCAGCACTGTGGCAGCCAAACAGAAGCAGCTGCTGGAGAAGACGCTCTACAAGTTCGAGCCGCTCGTGCAGCACTGCATTGAGACCTCCATGGTGACCACCAGGCGCGTGGCAGAGCTGCAGGTGAGATGCTTTGGTATGATTGTTGATGAACTTGCTTAACTTTTAATTGTCAACAGAATGCGGAGCGTAAGCTTCTCATGTGCCACATGAAGGACTATGATGACACAAACACCTATACCAAATGGCTGGAGATAATACGCCGGATGACCCACGAGGGAGCGCCCTGGTACTGCAACGAGCGTGCTGAGTGGTAAGTGAATGAAATCTCTCTATATCCGAAATCCACTAATCGGTATTATTGCAGCTCCTGGGAGCTGGATGACACGGAGGGGCCATCGCGTGTTCACACACGTTTGCGGCGCTGCCACTTGGATATTGATCGGCGATTCTTTATGAACGACTACTGCCCCGGGCAGGGTCAACGCGAGGAGAAGGATCAATATGTGCGTCCGCTGGACTATTTGATAGCCAGCTACGATCAGCAATTGAATATATCACTCAATTCGCAAATACTCTATAATTTTGCGGCAAAATTTTTGCCCGTTGATGGTGAGATCGATGGCGAGATAATTATAACTGATCTGAAGCTCTATTTTCTGGCCACATATCGTTGTAAATACTTTAATGTGAACTGTGATATATCGAACATAACTGAAATTTGGCTGAAGCGCTACCAGCACCAGGAGAAGGCCTTTGAGATATTGCTGGACAGCAACAAATCGCTGTTCTTTTCGCTGCAAAACGCCGACGACTGGAAGATAATGCGCGAGGTATTCTGTGATAAAATTGTAACCATGCCGGACAACTCCAAAGTGCTGGCCATAACGCAGCAGTGGCGCGAGGGCCTGCTAACCAATTGGGAGTATCTGATGACACTCAATCAGATAGCTGGACGCACCTACAACGATCTCATGCAGTACCCAGTCTTTCCCTGGGTGCTGGCCAACTACAGCTCCGAGTGCCTAGATCTGCGCCAAGCGCAAAATTTTCGACGACTCTCGCGACCCATTGCGGTGCAGCTGGAGAAGAACGAGCAGCACTACATAAACAACTATGCGGTAAGTAAAGCAGATTAAGGAAATGTCGATTAGATATTAATTCATATATATTTCACAGTACATCGAAAGCACGAATACGAACATGGGCTCATTGATCYTGAAGCCGTATCACTATAGCTCCCACTACTCAAAYTCTGGCACCGTGYTGCACTTTCTGGTRCGTGTGCCGCCTTTCACCAGCTATTTTCTGCGCTATCAAGGTAATTTGAATTCACCCAGTAATTCACTCTTKGACTAATCGAATGCTGCTCCTTAACAGACAATAACTTTGACCTGCCGGATCGCACTTTCCACGCACTGCACACCACGTATTGCTTGGCCAGCCAGGATAGCTCCACGGATGTGAAGGAACTCATACCRGAGTTCTTTTGCCTGCCTGAAATGTTTGAGAATTTTGAGCGCTTCAATTTTGGCTGTCGTCAAAATGGCGAAAGGGTTGAGGATGTCACACTGCCCGCCTGGTGCCAGCGAGATCCGCGTCTCTTTGTGCTCATCCATCGGCAAGCGCTGGAATCGGAGCTGGTTCGCAATGAGCTGCATCACTGGATCGATCTAATTTTTGGCTATAAGCAAACAGGAGAGAGCGCTGTTGAGGCCATTAATGTGTTCCATCCCGCGGTGAGTTGGCGTCTTAACTTTTCCATATTCCGATTATCATTTTGCCCTTTTCCAGACCTATGCCGTTTTCCTCGACTCTGAAATTAGCGATCCCATTGAACGTGAGGCAGTCAAGACTATGGTGAAGACTTATGGGCAGATGCCACGCCAGCTGTTCAAGTCGCCACATCCCTCCACCAAAGCGCTGGACTATGCTCTAGTGGACACGCCCATTGTGCCCAGTGTGAAGGGATTGCGTTGGGGCGTCTACGTGGGCTCGCCGCAGCTGAAGGCGCCGTCGTGGGCCATCATACACAAAATACCAGGCACCGAGCATCTTGTCAGCTTCAGCAACACGAATGTGGTCTATGCCTTGCCGGCGCGAGCGGGAGTTATGCAGGGCGCCGAGCCCGACACCTATAATGTGATTTCCTGGGGCTACGACGATCGCATTGTGCGCATTCAGCCGCTGAACAAACCACAAGCGAAGCCCAAGAATCTGCTATATAATGACAGCTTCGATGACATCAGCGCTTGTGGCTGTGATGTGAACTCGAATCAGCTCTGGTTTGGCCACAAATCCGGACGCATTAGCGTCTACAAGTGCGCCAGCGGCATGGATGGCCAACAGCGCGCGACCACCAAGAGTCGTCAGAGCTATGTGCGTGGATTGCGTCTATCCTATAATTCAGCATTCCGCAAGATGACCACCAAGAGCACAGGCTCTGGATCTGGTGCTGAAGCATCCGATGACTCGGGCAATCTGCATGCCACCAACTCGTCTGCCTCTATGTCCTCATCTGGAGTCTCCTGCAACGGCGATGCACTGCAGCGCGATGGTGCTGACTTAACCTGGCTGGGTCCCACGTTTCTGGTGCGGCACACGGATGAGATCACTTGTATTGCCCTGTCCGTTGAGTTTAAAATCGCTGTGAGCGCTGGACGTGACGGCATTGCCGTCATTTGGGATCTCAATGAGTGAGTTAAAATCGATAGCTAAACAGTTTCACTTACTAATCGTTTGCCCTCAGCTGGAGCTATGTTCGCACTATTGCACGTCCTGCGGAGATTCATCAGTCGCCCATCACGCATGTGGCCATCAGYCCTACCCTGGGCGACATAGTCACCGTGCACACAATGCCCCAGCAGCCAATAAATGCCAATGCAGCAGCATCGCTCGCAAAGCAGAGTGCAGCGGACGAATGCTTCGAGGTGACGGAGGAGAGCCTGGATGATTTTGTCAACGTCAACATCAATCCCAATGGCAGATCCATACTCCGTCTGCACTCGGTCAACGCCCGCTACGTACAGCACCTGGTGCACGAGGACCGCATCCAGGCTGTGTGCTATTCCTACATCAAGGAAGGTGTCGGAGTCAATGTCATAGCCACCGCTGTGGAGGGCGGCTTCGTCCGCTTCTGGTCGAGTTGGAATTTGAGTTTCGTCAGCGAGCTAACAACAGGCACAGCACCCATTCACAGGTGAGTGGAACCCAAATTAAATGGATAACATATTTAAAATTTATTTTGCTTGTAGCATCATTTACTCTACGCATCAGCACTTGGTGGTGTTAACAAAGGACTCCCACATCCAGGTTTGGGAATCGGAGGGTCTCTACGGCAACGCGCCAAAGTTTCCCCAAATTGTTTATAAGTAAACAGCCGTAAACTAAACCTAYAATTAAACTCAAAGCATATCAATGACAGACACATAAACCAGAGTAGCTGAAGAATCAAAATGATATCGAGCCCAAGTCACGTGGAATTCCATTCTGTAACTAATGACCGGCTTCAATTAAATACATATACACACACACATATTAGTTTTATAGCCATAGGTACATAAAGCTATTGAAATACACTTTTCTACCAAACAACTTTTATAAGTTATAAAATTTTTGTTTGTTTTTTCATTTATGGCTAAAATGCTTTGGCAGCTTAAGAAGTTTGCTGCGCTGCCTTAAACTGTTGCAATTATGAACGAGCAATAAATTTGTTTCGCAAATATAAAACAATTTACTTTCACAACTTCTAAGTAAAATGGTTTACGAAAATATGTCACATACATGTGGCTACATTAAAGATCAGACTATCGAACTATTTAATACAAATGAATTATAATGATATATATCAGGACTTCCAGGGCGGCGGCTTAGAGCCGGTGTTGGAGTTGCGCTTCTGTGGTTTGGCGTTTTGTTTGGTGTTCATGGAGAGAATCTTATCGAGCTTATCAAGATCACTTGGCGATTTGCTCAACAGCAGCTCAATGTATGATTGCAGCTTGTCCACGGGTGATGGTGGATCCTTCTTGGCCGCCGTATCCAGATTATTCTTCTCGGTGTTGTTGCTGGCTTGAGTTTTGCTTGATTTGGGCGTTTCGGGATAATGACGTGCGTTGTTCAGATCCGGTGACTCGCTGTCCGTCGTCTCGCCACTTGCCAACTGAGTCGTCTGATTGGGCGAGGTAAGTATGGCCAATGCCTGTTGCCACTGTGCCTCCATTACGCCATGCAGCTTTTGCGCAATATCCGCACTGGAAGCAAAAAGAGACCAAGTATTTATAGAATGGTCTTTTTATATCATCTTTATAATCTGACTTACCGCTTAGTCTTGTAGCAGTTAAGTTGGAGTTCCAGCTCGTCTATTTTCTTGGATGCATTTGCCAGCTGCAGACGGTACAGTTCCACTTCCTCATTGTGCTTCTCCTGTACGAGATTCAACTCCTGGTTGTTCTTCTCGTTGATCATCTCCAGCTGCTTGACTGCTCGATCGGCTATCAGACGTTCACGCTCGCGTGCCTCTGCCTTCAGGTTCTCCTCCGATTTGTCCAGCTGCACTTGAAACTCTTGCAGCTTTTTGGCCACCACATTCTCCATTTGCTGCTGGTAATATTGCTTCAAGGATTTCTGCTGAATTTCCATCTTTTTCTTGAGGTTTGTCTGAAAGAAGGTTGGAATTAAACATGGTAGTCACTCAAATGAACTGCTTGAAAGCTACCTCGGTGTCGGTTAGATTTGCCAGCGCCTCTTGCATGGAYTTGCGCTGCAATTCYAGATTATCTGCGCGCGTCTTTTGCTTCTGATGATACTCCTGCAGCATTTCCTTTTGGTGTTGCAGCGTGGACTTCTCCTTTTCTAGTTCTTCAATACGCGCTTTGAGCTGTAGGAAGAAAAAAACATTTCTTTAGAGAAGCGAGGAGAGTAGATAGAGGCACTCGATAATACCTTCTCCACTTGATAATCAGCCTTGGCGAACTTATCACGCAGCTTATTCTGCTCGGCATGCGACAGCTCTTCGGAACGCTTGCTGCTCTGCAGCTGCATTTCAACTTGCTCGAGCTTCTGCGCTGTCTCGCTTGCCTGACGCTTGGCCCGCTCCAACTCGGCCTCCAGTTTGTCTGTCTTATCCTGAAACTTGGTAGCCAAACCCACAGCCTGGGACAACTCATGCTGCAACGACTCGCATTTGCCATGAGCGTCATTCCGCTCCGTCTCCAGTTTATGCACCGAGTCGCGCATATTTTGAACCTCAAAGTTGAGCGTCTTCAGTTGCTGCTCCGCCTGCTGCAGGGCGCAGTCCTTGGACCGATCCACCTCAATGGCCACCGAGATGCGCTGCTGGTACTCCAGCATCTGTGCCTGCAGTGTTTGTACCATCTTCTCCAGGTGCTGGCGGCGCAGCTGCTCTTCCTTGAGCGCAGGTATGCCCTGTTGTCCAGACATATTGTTTGCTATGACTGTGCCTGCCAGATGGCTTTTGCCCCACAGCTCACTTAGACTAATAAGTTTTTCGCTGGGCATTGACGGTGACGCACCCAGTCGTATGCTAGGCAACGACGTGGCCGTTGGCTGCGACTCATGCGCCGGCGTCGAATAGCCACGCATGCGCAAATGATCATCGCTGTAATGCTGCTGCAGCTGTTGATACTGCTGCTGATGCGGGTGTTGCTGCTGGTACTGATGCTGGTGTGGATGTTGGTGCTGGTTCTGGTGCCAAGCATTGTTGTCGTCCAAATAGTTATCGATTTCCTGGAGTATGTTTTCCTCCAGCCGATTACCGCCCTTGGGCGTCGAGTGTGCCATGCCGTGCAGCTCTCGTTGCGGTCGACTGCCCAAGGCAGAGCGCACTGTACTCGATGAAATTGTGGATAGATCCGAAGGCGCATCAAAGCGTCGCTGCTCCTCCTGGCGCTCCAGCTCCATGTTTTGCAAACGCGCATTTATCTGATTCAATTCCGACTTTTTGTCAGGCATCAGAAACTGATACGCAGCTGTCGTAGACGCTGGCGGCGGCAGCGGCAGCGGCGGCGGCGGCATAGCAAGTGCATCTGCCTCGGCAGCTGCACTCATCTTGTCCTGCCGAGGTATATAGTAATTGGGCGGTATTAGCAGCAACAGATCTGTATCATCTGTATCGGTATCACTCATTACAACATGATTGATTGA